GGGTTCAACCTCGCGCGAGGTCAACCCGAGGTACTTGAAAGAAATCCAACCTCGAGCTTACCTCGAGGAACCTCGAGGTTCAGCCTCAAGCATYTGACGAATACCTCGTGCTCAACCTCGCCCGAGAACGACCCGAGAAAAATAGCAGAGCTCTCCTCCTTATTCAACCTCCCAACACACTTAAAACGGTTCCCTCCCACATACCTCAAAACTCAATTTCAGCTCAAAAATCAATTTCGGCAGAACAACAATGAAGGAAATCACAGCAGAACAATCTCCCAATAATGGAACGAACAAAATAAAGTAAAATCGGACAGCGAAATCACTCATTCATGTACATGGTCAACAAGATACAGTGCTGGTGTTCAGGAATCAACGGAAGAAAACCCATTCAACATGAAAAAACGTAGCCCTAACCCCACGAAACAGTGGAAAAATTGAACTTACCTCGAGCGATTTCGAACGGAGACGGAGCGGGAGAAGACGACTTACGCAAACGGAAAAAGGAGAAAACGAACGGAGAAGGAGAAGACAAACGGCGACTGAAAACGGAGAGAAATGAGGAAAGTTAGAACGGTTCAATTTTTTGAACGAAGGGTACTATAGTAATTTCACTACCTATAAAAATTAATTTAATATTCAAGTGGGTCATTAGGCCACAATAAAAGGTTATTTGAGCATTTCAAAAGTTTTTGGAGGTCATTTGAGCCAATTTCCCCTAGATTTTGGAGCTCCTGCTTTGCGTTCATGGGAGGGCTACATGAGGAAGAAGAAGTTGCCACTGAGGATGTCGTAGTTTCGGTAAATTTCCATTCGAATTTTGTAATCCCGAGGTTGCACTCCTAAATCCTAGGGCTCCTTAGAATTATTGCTGTATAGTTGAACATGTTTTTTTAAATGTTCTACACAAATTGTTGTTTGTTTTTATACATAGAAGCTAGAAATTGGATAGTCAAGGGCATTTCGAGACGGAGAAGTTGGACGAAAAAATGGGAGACGAAGTGGAGAACAGGCAGCAGCGGCGGCGGCGTCTGATCCTCGAAAATTTCTTAACCCGCGAAGAATGCAGGGAACTGGAGTTCATCCATAAGAGCTGCTGTACGGTGGGTTATAGACCCAGCGTCTTCTCCACCACACTTTTGCATCTTGTAGCCACTAATTCTGCTCATTTGATCATGCCTTTCGTTCCGATCAGAGGTAAAACCGCCTCTTTCTCGATTTGCACCATTTGTTCCTTTTTCGTGATTTCTATGTTTAATTTTAATCTGACTTCAGTTTTGTGACAGAGAGGTTGAAGGAGAAGGCGGAGGAATTCTTTGGCTGTGAATATGAACTCTTCGTCGAGTTCACTGGCTTGATCAGGTTCTCCTCCTTCCTTCTATGTGTAAATCAAGCAATATATGAAATTACTGCTTCATATGGGGTCTTCTTTGGTGCACCAAATCTGAACGGTACTTTTATTATCTGTTTTCCCGAGTCATTTTCAAGTTTGTGGATCTTCTTGAAGATAGACGCATTTGCTGTTGATTCATTAGGCACCCAACGAATTCAGTTGCACCAAATAGTTCTTACTTTAATATTTGTTTTCTGAAACTCTGGCTAGCCATTGGAGCTTTAGTGGTCGCAAGTGCAGGACCAAGGGAAACGAGTTTTGAGTGAAATGAAGGCTTTAGAAGCTATATATTTGATGGGATATAGTTTATGGCAACCGTCTTCTTGTTCTATTATGCCTTACATTGCTTGTTTACCCTCAGTTCTCCATACAAAATATCTGATACTCTTGGGCTCATGTGTGAGAATTTTCTAGCAAGTTGCTGTTCTGATTGACTGGTTAGGTGCTGCAGCATAAGTTATTGTGTACGCCATATTATTGGCTAAATTTTTTTTAGTGAGAAACAAAATAAAGGTACAAAGAGAGGTTGATAAGGTTTCCAGCCAGCTAACTATACACAAAAACCTTCCAATTCATAGCAATATCAGAAGGGGATAATTCAAAAAGTTCTTGTCCAGAAAACACTTAGGATAAGCCTGAGAAATTGAAACCTAAAACTAAGAAAAACCTCTATGCTTCACTAAAAAATGTCTTCTTGTTCTTTCTTTCTTACCACAATTTTGAAAGAATAGCCTTCGTCTTGTTCTTTCATAACACTTAACTTTCTACTTTGAGGGTCTTACCAAAAAATGTTTCTACTTAAGAGGGCAAATCACCAAGGAAATTGTAAATAGGCTTCGTCATGTTCTTTCATAACACTCAACTTTCTACTTTTGGGGTCTTATCAAAAAACGTTTCTACTAAGAGGGCAAACCACGAAGGAAATTTTGCAAATAGGTCTCTCTCTCTTTTAGTAAGAAACAAAAACGTATCTTAAAAAGAAATAGCAAATCCTTGGGACTTGGGGTCAAAGAACTACGAAAGAAGAGTCCTCCATCAAAAAGGTCTCTCAAATCCTAGGGGCTTGGTTGGTTCCGCTTTGCAGCAGTTTTGAGGGTTGAGATATAATAGTTTTTGTGTCTTCTCTTGGTGGAGGGAGGTTCTAGGACCCTATGAATAAACAAATGATTTAACTTCTATTGTTTATAGTTTCCTGTTTGGGTTAATCTAGGATCCCAAACCCGATAGATAAGTGAAGGTTATATTTCCTTCGGTTTAACTAAATCTAAGCCGCTAGGCCCTATTGGCTTCTCAGGGTAGTTTTTCCCCAAGTCAATTGGGATAGGCTCAAAGTTAAGTAGGTAAAGAAATTCTCTATGATTTATCTAAGGTCATGTTTGTTACGTTCATTCAAAAAAGGACGGGGGTTGAAGTGTAAAATCAAATTATGTAAATGAAGGATACCTTGTTTTTTCAAAGGAGGGAGGCTTACTCTTTTTCAAGCTATTTTATTGAGTACGTGCCTATTTCTCCTCTCTTTTTGAACCGCCAATTGCAATTCGGCGAAACTCTAAAGTAGTTTATGGAATACTGTAGTTTTATATCGAAAAGAGAGTTAGTTATTATAAGAAGTATAGCGCTCTCAAAAAAATGCCTCCCCCTCTCCCTATCGCTACCGTCACCACCCTCTCCACCACCACCCCCATCCTCCCCTCACCGCTGACTCCATGCCATCCCTGAGGTATCCCACCGGTAACCATGACCGACAAACCAGCGCCCTCCCTTCGCTCTGCTTTGATAGACAGAAAGCACTTCTCAGTGGAACTGGACCATAGATATCGAGGATCCCGTATCAAAATCACAGAAACCTCAAAAGACAAGGCTTTCTTCATCTCCATTCATTGGTCCTCTGTTTCATGGTTAGCCTCTTGCTTTTCTTCCTTATTATCTGCCCCAATCAACCAACGGTTCTTTAGAGAGACCAGGATCGACGACCAAACCTTATGGATAGAAAAATCATCTAACAGAAAAGGCACCATTGCTGAAATTGCAAGACTTGATAACAACGGGAGCATCAACAAAATATTGGTTCCGGTTGGTGAAGAAAGGAGGGGCTGGCTCACCTTTTTTAACCTCCTTAAAGACTTCACAGAATCACACCAAACACACAAACAGATAAAGTTAATCACCAACCCTACCTGCTGCTCGCCATCAACAAATGCTTTCATCCTCGTACTGTGATGCTGTAAAATCTTCCACAGCCACCACTATGGTCTCGAAAAGGATCATTGCTGCCCCCATCAAGCCATCGGTTACGAAAGTCGCTTCACCCACACCCTACCCACATGCTAATCCGAACCTAGATTCATCAATTATTGTTTACAGAAGGAATTTCCATGATGACTGGTTCAAAATCATGAGAGCCCTTCGAGAGCATATCAGTTATTTTTGCTCCATTAATCCATTTGCTGCTGATAGAGCTCTTCTAAGATGTGAAGGAAGCGAACAAGCAACGATCCTAACCAACATGAAAGGTTGGTATAAGGTGGGTAGCTTTGATCTCAGATTTGCCCCCTGGGACAGCAAGTCCTCCTACAAAGACCCGATGGTCCCTTCCTATGGGGGATGGATAAAAATTAGATCTTTGCCTCTAGACCGGTGGAATGATGACACCCTTAGACACATTGGAAACTGCTGCGGTGGCTTCATAGAAATTGCCAAGAAGACCCTCTCCCGAATGGACCTTTTGGATGCATCGATAAGAGTGGAAACGAACTCTACGGGTTTTATCCCAGCAAAAGTTTCTCTACCCACGGGGGATCAAGATGGTTGCGAGGTCTTCATTGACCCTTTTTTTTCCGGTGACACCTATATAGGTTTTTTGGCCGGAATCCATGGTGATCGGCCGCTGGAAGCCCCTGCAAAGTGCCTGTTTTCGAAGGGAGATGGTCTCCTTGGACCGTACCCTCGAGCTTTTCCCCTTGTCAAAAGCAGCGGTTGTGTCGCTGAACCGAAACAGAGGTCTACTCACCTTACCATAGGCTGTGATGCAGAACAGGAACAGAGGTTTACTCTTGTTGACTTGTCTGATGCTATTATTGATCCTGATACTCTATCCATAGCCCCTGTTTCCTCGGATTTGGGGAAATGTGTCCTTAACTCAAAAGGGAAAGAACCGCTTTTCGAGGATCACATGTTGTCCCATTGCCCAAACCCAAACCCTGCTTTTTTGCCCACTGACACTGTACCTCTGTGCATTGATAGACCACACACTCATTACCCCTCCGCTTCACCTCCTCCCAACCAAAAAACCCCCTGCTCCCCTCTTCCCGAACCTAGCCAGATTATCCACAAACCCAAAAAAGCCGTTGAGTTAAAGACAAAGAAGACTTTCCTCATTTCTGGCACAAAGTACTGCACCAACTCCCTCCCCTCAGAACCCGATTCTGAAAACCATCTTTCCAGTCCTTACCCATCCTCACACGCCTCCCTGCAACAATCCTCTCCCCCCTCTCTCCCACTAACAGACACTCGCCTCTTAATAGCCCCCTGCTACCTCTGACCACCTAGCTTTGCAATTTTTCTCGGAAGAACAGGCTGCTCTTTCTCCCTCTCCCTCATTCTATTTTGACCCCTCTATCCATCCCTCAGTTTACCTGCAACCAGTGGTCCCGTGGCTGAGAAAGATAGGGCTGGGCATTCTCCCCCTGCCCAACAAGACTCCAAAGCTTAACAAAGAGACGAAGAAACAGAACAAATACGCAAGGGAGCTCACAAGCCTATACTCATCCATTAATTATGATGGACCATCTTCATCATCCATTCATTGGTGGGACCTCTACCACTATATGAATGTTTTATCATGGAATGTCAGGGGTATTGGCTCAAAGGAGAAACGAGCCCAAATCAAAAGCTTCATTCTTCACCACAATCCATCCATAGTGATTCTCCAAGAAACAAAGATCGAAACTGTCGACCGTTTTCTTATCAAAACCCTATGGAGCTCAAGGAACATAGGCTGGGCTTACAAAGGATCGATGGGTTCTTCTGGAGGTATTATCATTCTATGGAACAATCCCTCTTTCTCTGTATCTGATATTTCCATTGGACTTTATTCCCTCACCATCAGATTCTCTCTATCGGATGGCTTTTACTTCTGGCTCACCGGGATCTATGGACCATCGGGGGCGAGAGACAGACACCTATCTTGGGAGGAACTCCATGACCTAACCGCCCGATTCTCTGACCATTGGCTCCTGGGGGGAGATTTTAATGTCACCAGATGGTCACACGAAAAACCATCCATCGAAGGCCCACCCGTAGCATGCACCTTTTCAATGAATTCATAGCAGATGCCAATCTCAGTGACCTCCCTCTTTCCAACGGCCTTTACACCTGGTCCAACATGAGGGAGTCTCCTTATCACTCTCTCATTGACAGGTTTTTATGTTCGGAAGCTTTTCTCAATCACTTCCCTAACGCCTTGGTCAAACGTTTGGATAGGGAATTATCAGATCACTATCCCATTCAGGTCTCTTTAGGTATCAACAAATGGGGTCCAGCACCCTTTCGGTTTGAAAACATGTGGATGCAGCACCCCTCTTTCTCATCTATGCTGGAACTATGGTGGATTTTGAAGCCACTGACTGGTTGGCCAGGCCATGGCTTCATCCAGAAACCAAAGAGCCTTAAAGCTACTGTCCGATTATGGAAGAAAGAAACCTTTGGCTGCATTCATCGACAACGTGAACAGTGCCTAATTAACCTAGCTTCCTTGGATGCAGAAGAAGAGAGAGGAACTATCCAACAGGAACAGATTGCTAATCGGACAGCTTTGAAAGCTCAGCTCCTGTCTTTGGCTGTGAAAGAAGAAGCCCATTGGCGACAAAGATGTAAGACGAAATGGCTGACAGAAGGGGATGTAAACTCGAGTTTCTTCCATCGATTGGTGGCTGCTCGGAGACGGCGAAGTACGATTGTAGAGGTGCTT